TGCTACTGGCCTGCCTGCGTTTTCTCAGGCTGCTTCTTTGGGTACGAAGAGGCAGACATTTATGAGGAAATATTTCTGCAGAGCCCTCAAACGAAGTCCAGCTGACACTTTAGTGACAGGAGGGGCTTCTGGGCCTGGAGAATCCCGGCACCTGTGCCACGGAGCAGGTGTGGCTGAAGCGGCCCCAGGCCCTCACGGAGCTGCTCTCTCTCAGGCTTCCTGGGGAGCAGCAACCGGAAGGGCACCTTTGGGAGGGGTATAACTAAATATTGGCGTGTTGATGCTCCAGTTACTAAATTTCGAACTATATCCTTTCTGCTGCATCGTGGTTCGGTATCAGCCCGGGAAACGGAAGCACACCAGGACTGGGCAGGAGTCCGAGCACTCACCCCACTGTGTGTCTGGGATGTGTCCCTCCCCTGGGCCCGCCCTTTGTCACCCTCATACTTCCTCCCCCAGGGAGAGGGCTCTGCTGCAGCGGCCCGACCAAGGTAGTGAGCTTCGTCCAGCTCTGAGCTGGTCTTGGATTTGCCTCCCAGGGTTCTAACCATGTTTATGTCCGAAAGGGGGAGGCTCCCAGCATTCCCAGAAGTTTCTCAGTCACCTCTGTCCTGTCCACGTGAACGACTTTATTTTCCCCTGTCCAGTCCCCGTCATTCTTTCTGAGGTTGGACTAGTTGGGGTCCTGCTCCCCTCACGGGTGGATCTCAGAATTACTTGGAGTTGTTGGCAGGTGAAAGAGCGGTCACAGGCTCCAGCGTGAGACCTCTGGGGACTGCAAGGCGCACTGTTCCCCGTGGGTCTTAGGGAGGAGTCAGCAGGCTGCGCCTCGCTCTTGCTCTGGTCTGGTGACTGCGCTGTGGGTTCAGCCCCCTGCCTCCCGGCCCTTGTGGCCCCAGGCCGGGGCTGGCTTCTCCTTGGTTTCTGCTGTCCCAACTCCCAGTCACCTGTGCAGAGTGGACTAAAGATCTGTTTTCACCAAAGAGCATTACTGGAGTGAAAAGTGTACTTCTAGAGTATTTGGGATTCTGACCCTGATTTGCTGGTTAAATCTTGAGATTAGTTCGCATTACCCAGTCATGGGGCTTTAAATCAGTCAGCAAATATTCTTAAGGACTAAAGCCGTTGCTCTCTACGTTTATGGTCATTGTTTGGGAATAAAAAGGACAATAACCTTTTATAAATAACAGGGAATAGTGAAATCTTTTCTTGCTAGTTATTACATGTTTGAAAGAGGCCAGAGAACTGGGAAGCTCAAGTTTCAAATCCCAAGGTCCACAGTTTCCTCTCTGAGAAGGTGGGTCGGTGGGTCAGACTGAGACGCAGCCACACCCAGGCAGCCTCTGACTAAGGCAGTGTGCACCTGGCAGCCTGCATTTTGTCATCTGTAGGTGGTGGTGGTAATGAGACATGGTGTGTGTTTGATCCATAATTGATTGCCTTATTAATTCATTGTTACTATTATTTTTATTATGACCATCAGCATATCCCTTAGTGTTTCAAATATTTCTTTCACTATAACTATATAGATCATATTACTTTTGTCTAGTTTGAAGTATATATTATTGTATATACTTATGGAAGGTACCCTGCAGACAAAAATATATATAACTTGCACCTTCTAATAAGTAAAAGCAGTAGCACCAATGCTGTCCCATGAGGTGGACCATGCCTGACAGCTCTGATGCTCTTGTGAGGTCTTTCCCCCATCAAGTCTCCCTCCTCCCAAGGTACCACTTTCCTCCATAGATTTAGCACATTTCTCTTTAGAAAATATAGTCCTTGTCTTTCTTTGCTTTTGAGCTGTGTGAGAACAGTCGTGTGAGCGCTGTGATGCACCCGCACATGCGTTGTGCGTCTGTTTTCAAGGTGCAATGTTAGGGCTCATCCGAGTTGTGAGCACGGCGGTTATGACTTCTTTGTCACAGTGGGAGAGTGCTCCGTTGCATGAATAAATATGCACTATTTTAGTTATTTTCTTCTGTTCATGGATGTGTGGGATGCTTCCCAGGTTTTATTTACTTTATCTTGTACTAGTTTGAATATGATTCTACTAATACTCTTCTGTTAGGTTGAACTGTGTGGAATTGGTATTCTATACATGAAAATGGCCCCAACTTAGAGTTTTCATATAATTCCATCCAATTCCCATCTCTTGGTGCATATTTACAAGATTACATCAGAGGAAATGCCTCCGTCAGAGGATCCACGCATCTTCAGCTTTTAAATGAAAGCTGACTGAGTCATAGGTTGTGCCAATTTATGCCCTGGTTTGGAAGCTGCTTGTTCACCGCCTTCCAGTGTTCAGTAGCATTTTTATTTGGTAGGAGTGTTAGCTTTCCGTTGGAATGGCAGAATGCCTGAGATGATCAGCCTCTAAGGAGAGAAGGTTTGCTCTGGCTCGGGGTTTCATAGGGTTCAGCCCATGGTGCTGAGCTCCATCTCCTCGAGGCCTGCTTGAGACAGAATGTTAGCGCCAAAGTGCGTGATGGAGGAAACTGCCCACTTTCTGACAGGCAGGATGGAGAAAGAGAGGCTGGAAGACACTGTCTCCTCCAGAGGTGGGCTCCTGATGACCTCACTTCCTTGGTCCCTGACCTCCCTAGAGGGCCTCAGGCTGGGGACCAAGCCTTCCCGGGACATTCGGGGACATTCCAGGTCCAGCCCAACCCCAGCTATGGAAGGTGGTCTCAGTTTGTAGTTCTGTGATTGCCAAGGAAGTCAAGCGTCATTCCATGTGCTCATTTGCCTTTCTGTCCCATATGTGTGATGGCTGTTCACATCTTTTGTTCATTTTTCTACCAGCTGCTGTCTTTCCTTGATTTATTGTAGGACTTCTTTTATAAGCTAAATATAATATTGTTAATTACATGTGTGGCAAATGTTTGTTCTCAGTTTTTGGATTGTCTTTTCTCTTTACTTGAAATTGATTTTTGTGCATAGTGTCCTTTTTTTTTTTTTTTTTTTTTTTTGGTGGTACCGGGGATTGAACTCAGCCTTGTGCATGCTAAGCAAGTGCTCTACCACAGAGCTACATCCCCAACCCGGAAATGCAGGAGTCTTGTGTGTGTGTGTGTGTGTGTGTGTGTGTGTGTGCATAGTGTGAGGTATGGATCTAACTCATCATTTCCTAACTGTCCACCGTGATTCCTGTTCTTGTTTTAAAGGGACGAGAACTTGGCTGAGTTGTTTCTGTGTCCTGAAGCCTTGTGCAAGGTGGGACTTGCACAGGTCACACAGGGTTTGGCAGAAGGAATCCCTACGCAGGGTGCTGGGGGTACCAAATGGCTTTTGTGCCTGCTTGTGGTAACACGTGAACCAAAGACATGACTTGTAATCAACGGGGAAGAAGAAGTTAATGATTTGGAGGGTACATAGCCTGGCCATATAGTAAAGAAAGGCAGGGGAGTTCAGGACACACTGTCAGTAGTGTGGCCACGTGGACTCTGAGACTCACAGGGTTAGGAGGCGGTGGGCACCGTTAATCAAGGGTAGTTCTGCAGGCATCTTGGAGAGTTTTGAGACTGCCACTCCCACCCCAGGCCAGGGTGCAGGCCATGAGGGAGGAGCAGCTTCAAGCCCCCGCTAGACCCACGGAAAAATGAAACTCTGTTCCTGGCAGAGCAGTCGCCTGTCCATTACTCGTTTCCAAGGCCCCTTGGTCTTGACCAACTCGGCTTCATAGTCAGGGTGTTCAGTACTGAGCACAGGGTGGGCATGAGGGTCTGGTGGTCACCCTGATCTGCAGAAAGAACTCAGCCTTGAGTCCGTGAGCACTTTCGCAAATGCCCCGAATGGCATTAAGGATGTTTCCGTGTAGTTGCAGAGGGTACCTGGTGTGAACAGGTATTGAATTTTGTCAAACGCCTTTTCTGCATCAGTTAAAATGATCTTGGGACTCGTCTCCGCTTATTATGTTAATGTGTGAATGGTGCATATTTACTCTTGGGTGGTGGGAAACCACTGCTCGGAGGGAGCCTACTTTGGCATGGTACGAGTCACTTCTGTAACTTGCTGAGCTGGCTTTGCTGATGCTCGGTTAGGGTTGTCGGCGTCCATGTTTCAGATGCCTTCAGAGGTCCCTGGAGTCATCATTTGATTTCACCCCTGGGCACAGCTATTCCTTAAAATCCTCTTTTTCCCACCTGGTACCAGGGATTGAATCCAGGGTCTTTGCCCTGAGCTACTTCCAGCCCTTTTTATTTATTATTTTTAAAAAATTATTTTGAAACAGGGTCTCACTAAGTTGCCCAGGCTGGGGTGGAGCTCTGACCCTCCTGCCTCACCCTCCCCTAGAGCTGAGATGACAGGTGTGCACCACCATGCCTGGCTGAAAGTGCCAGACAGAGTTGCCCAGGCGAGGCAGTGGCTCAGTGGTAGATCTCCTGCTTAGCAAGTATGGTCTAATTCTCAATACCAAAGAGGGAGATTTCCCCCCGTAATTTTTAAGTATTTGCTACTGAGAGTTATTCCTCTGCAACACTGTCCTTCCTACTGCTGAGAAAGTGGCTAAGTTACAATCATTTACGGTATGTTTTCCTCTTGGAGAAGAGAACCTATTGATTCTTTTTTTGCATTAAAATATTTTTATTTAGCTAGTACCTGTTTGTAATTCGTGCATCTTACTGTCATCTTGGGGAGTGGCTGCGCGTACATATCCCAGTGTGGGGGTTTTCTCTCCTTCTGCCCCAGCCCCTCCCCACCCCCTGGTTCCCCCATCATCTTTTTCACACCTGTTGATACCGTTTGCTTCGCACGCGTTATGGCATATATAGTTTACACTGACTGGGGTTGTTAGAGTCCTGTACACGGCACATCGTTATTCTCTCATTCCCCCTTCGGCTCCCCTCACCCCCCACACTCGCTCCCTGGACCACTTCATATTGGATGAGATCTGTCCCCTCGTCCCTTTCTGTCCACCCTCCATCATTTTCTTTGTCCTTTGCTGCAGCCAAATGAGAGCCACCATATGGGATTCAAGCTTGTGTGTCTGATCTGTTTCACTCAGCATTGTTTTCCAGGTGCGTCCATTTTCCTACAAATGCCCCGAATGTCATTCTTTATAGCTGAGTAGTACTCCGTTATATATAGATACCACATTTTGTTTATCCAGTGCTCTGTTGATGGGTGCACAGGCTGCTTCCCGGATTTAGCTATTATAAAGTGTGCAGCTGTAAACATTGGTGTGCAAGCATCACTGTAATATGATGACTTTAGCTCTTTGGGGAAGGTACCTAGCAAAAGGTTCAATCAGTGAAGAGACAGCCTTCAGAATGGGAAAAAATTTTCCCAGCTACTCCTCAGACAGAGGACTAGTATCTGGAATATACAAAGAACTCCAAAAAAATTAAACCTCCTAAAATTAAAGACCCAGTCAAGAATGGGCAAGAGAAATAAGCAGATACTTCACAGAGGAAGAAATACAAATGGTTAACAAATATAGAAGAAATTTTCAGTATCCCTGGCCATTAGAGAAATGCAAATGGAAACAACACTGAGATTCCATCTCACTCCGGAAAGAATGACTGTCGCTGGGAAATCAAACAATAACAGTGCTGGCGAGGCTGTGGTGAGAGGAGCCCTCCTGCACTGTTGGTGGGAATGCAAACTGGTGCAAAGCAGTGTGGAGATTTCTCAAGGAATTGAAAGTGGAAAGTCCCTATGGCCTAACGATCCACTACTAGGTGTCTTCCCAAAGAGCTTAGGTCCTCTATTGGTTCTTATTTCATAGTCATATAATTACAACTTCAAGGGATATGGTGTACCTAGTATTACAATTTATTTAGTAGTTACACATAATACTTGTGATTTAAAACTTCACAGAAATGAAGCGTTCTTGGGTATAGCTTTTCGGTGTGCTGTCGGATCCACACGAAGTGAGATGCAGGATCCATTCTGTTGGAAAGGATAGGTGATTTTTCTGGATTGTTGTTTGTTTGGTCTTTACTCAAGAGCGAAGAGTGCGGGGTAATGGGACTGGGAGATGATTGGTCAGGGTCCTTTCCCTGCAGCCGTGCCGGGTGTGTTGAGGGGGCAGGCTACCTTTAGCTCAGCTTCACGGGACACTGTTTTGTTCTGTGTAGGTTTAGGCCTGGCTTCTGTCTTGTCCTCACCTGTGGCCTCTGCCTTGGTCCCCCAGGTCTCCACCCACCGCCCGTGTTTGGCACTGAACCATGGGGAGGAAGCTGGACCTGTCTGGCCTGACGGACGACGAGACGGAGCATGTTCTCCAGGTGGTGCAGAGAGACTTCAGTCTCCGCAAGAAGGAGGAAGAGCGTCTCAGGTGAGGGCTGTGGTGGCCTGGCGGGCAGTGGCCATGTGGGGACTGCGGTGTCCTGCACGTGTGGCTCTCTGCACTGAGTGCATGTGGTCCCCGGGCATGGTGCCCTGCCCTGTGTGCAGAGGTTGGGCGCCTCCACCACATCAGCTCAGAAACACATCCGACCGCTTCCTTCCCCAGTCAACTCTCCTTGCTCCTTCCAGCCATGTTGTAGCTGCGGGTGGGCTGTGCGTGTGCTTTGAGCTCCCTCTCAGCTCTGGCGTTCCCGTCAGCAGATCCTGAGGGAGAACGTTCAAATACTAGTGCGGGAGGTGAACAGTTCGGGGAGGATTAGACTCACGCATACAGGTTCTGCTAGGGCCGTCTCAACCATGGACCAGGGCTAAAGACCTGGTGGAGCACACAGACGCAAGGCTGGGATGGGACACCTGGCCCTGTACTCCCATCATTCGATAAGAGGGGGAAACTGAGGCCAGAGAGGTGTCCTCTGACTCCTCTGCTGGTCCTTCCTTGTGGAGTGTTCCTGAAACACTGCTGCAGCTCTTGGAAGCAGAAATCCCCACATGAGGAGAAGTCAGTGTGGTAGAAATGAGGCTGGTGTGTCCTCGCAACCCCCGGGAACAAGTTAGTCATTCTGCTTCATCTGTCCACACCATTACCTGCTGCGTTCCACATCCCAGCAGGGCCAGGCCCTGTGGCAGCTGCATCCTCAACCCCTCATCCTGCCCTTTCCAGCCCAGCACTCACCACTCCGCACCGGGTCGTTGGAGACCCACAGCGCGATCCTCCTGCCCTGGACCCCGTTCACACAGCGGTCAAAGCCACCACCCAGGGGGAGCAGGCACCCTCTGGGCGTACTCCGACGCCCCTTACCTCAAGTTGTCGTTGCGACTCACCACTGCCTCAGAAATATGAATGTGTTTGTACTTGTTCATTCGTCTCTGCCTACCGCCCGGAGTACTACTGTCCTACATAAATACAGCGTGAGACATGCATAGAATTCAAACATAGACAGAACTTTAAATGATCACATACCCTTACTGAAAAATTAAATAGGAGAAAATGAATGTCAGCACTTTATTTAAATGCATTTATTCAAAATATTATCTCAAAATGTATACACTATAAAGTTATTCATGAGGTATTTCATTTATACTAAGTGTTTGAAATCTAATATGTATTTTACACTTACAGACCTGCCTCATTGCAAGGATTTAGAAGCCAGCTGTGGCTGGCATGGAAGATGGCATTGGTCGGTGTGAAGCGTTGAGTGTAACTTCCATGGGGTGGAAACTCCTTGTACTGACTGCTGTCCACCCCTCAGCTAGAGCAGGGTTTCCCACAGGGGTATTATCCTTCAGGGCACACACCCTCACTGCACGCAACCCCACTGCACACATCCCCACTGCACACACCCCCACTGCACACATCCCCACTGCACGCACACCCACTGCATGCATCCCCACTGCATGCATCACAGCTGCACCCACCTCCCCTGCATGCACCTCCACTGCACACATCAGCCACTGCACACATCCGCACTGCACACATCCTCACTGCACACATCCTCACTGCACGCATCCCCACTGCACACATCCACACTGCACACATCCCCACTGCACACATCCACACTGCACACATCCACACTGCACACACCCCCACTGCACACACCCCACTGCACACAGCCCCACTGAACGCATCCCCACTTCACACATCTCACTGCACACACACCCACTGCACACATCCCCACTGCACACATCCCAACTGCACACACCCCCACTGCACCCGCCTCCCCTGCATGCACCTCCACTGCACACATTAGCCAC